CATGGTAGCTTGAAAGGTGGTTGGGGCATTGGTAAGCCCGAATCGCATGACGAGAAACTCGTAATGGCCATCAATTGTTCGGAAGGCAGTTTTGTGTGTATCCGATGGAGCAACCCGGATTTGGTGATTACCTACTCGGAGATCGATTTTAGAAAAAATCGAGGCTCCATGTAATTCGTCCAGTAGCTCATCCACCGTGGGAATCGGAAAACGGTCTTTGATGGTGATGGCATTAAGGGCCCTGTAATCGACACAAAAACGCCAAGTCCCGTCTTTTTTCTGGACAAGTAATACCGGGGAGGAGTAGGGACTCTGCCTCGGTTTTATAATACCGTCTGAAAGCATTTCTGAGATTAGGTTTGTCATCACCTGTTTCTGGTAATGGGGGTATCTGTAAGGCTTAACATTGACCGGGTTGGCAGAAGTTTCAGTGGGAATGTGGTGGTCTTGGGATCGATTGGGTGGTAAGGTTTTGGGTGTGTCAAAGACAGCTTCATATTCGAGTAACAGGTGGTCGATAATGGGGTCTGGGTGTAAGAGGAATGAAGGTGGGTTTGGTGCTGGTGATGGTTCTAAATTAAAATACAGAGTGTGTAGGGATGCGACACTCTCCTGGTGAATTAGGGACTTTAGGTTAGAAGATGAGACAGGTGTAGATTTAGGTTCACCTTTAAGTGTGATTGCTGTGGGCCCTTTGTAAAATGTCATCTGGGGTATGGAAAAATCGGCCAAAATTGGGCCCAAAGTACTAAGCCAGGCGACGCCCAAAATTAGGTCTGCTCCCTCCACAGGAAGTATAAAAATGGGATGGAAAAGGGCGTTTTTGCGAGGTGAACGACCAGGTTAGGGAAAAGCCCATTGCATTGAATGTTGTTGTCGTTTCCCACCATTACAGAAAATTCTGTGATCGGTTCTTATGAGGGGTGAAGGAGAGAAACGAGTCGCGGTTGAATAATATTATGTGTACTCCCACAGTCAATGAGAATGCTAACAGGATGGTTGTTAATGTAACCTGTGATACGGAGAGCTTGAGGTGATGGCAAACCGAAATAGGCGGCTGTAGACAGTGCAAAGAACTGGTTTTGGTCTATCGGTGGCGGTGTGTCATCATCCGGGACTGGCGGATCGCTGGTGAAGTTGGTTTCACTCTCATTATCAGCGATGAGAAGAAACTGTGGCGGATTGCACTTGTGACCGGGGGATACTTCTCTGGGCAACGGAAACACAACCCTTCGGCCCTGCGTTTTTGTAAGGCGTCCGCGGATAGCCTTGAGAAGGGTAACGATGGTTTGGGGGTGGGCAGGAGACCGGTGGTGGGTTGTGGGGCTGCGGTGGTGGGTATAAGGGCGGTAGAGGTTTTAGTGTTGGTGGAGGAATTTTGGTATGTGGAGTAAGGGCGAGTTTGGGTAAAACGGTTTTTAGACGAGGAAAGTTTATCTTCCATTAGTTTTGCTAATCCGTAAGCTTGATGTAATGAGGTGGGGTGATGCATTGCTAACTCATTTTGGATTTCGGAGCGAAGACCTGATAAGAAGCAATTGAGAAGTGCCTCATTGTCTAACCCGGTAACACAGTTGCTGATCTTCTCAAATTCTGCCTGGTACGCCGCCACTGTGGAGTTTTGTTTGAGTTTGAATAAGGTGGCTTGATGATTTTCATAGGTAGAAGGCCCGAAGCAGAGTTCCAAGGCGCGCGAAAATTCTGGCCAGGAGCCCAGTAAGTTGTTATTTGCCAAGTACTTGTACCAACTTAGTGCTTTTCCCGTGAAATAAAAGACTGATAATGCAATTCGTTGTGCAGGGGCAATGTTGTAATATTGGAAGTAGTTATTTGCTTGAAATAGCCAATCCAATGGGTCGGAACCATTAAAGGAGGGAAGAAGGATTTTGGGTGGGCGAGGTTGTTGGTGTGGCGGTGGTGGGGGTGGTGGTGGTGGGCCGTGATTGATATGGTTGGCTGCGAGGAGGGTGATTAAGTTATTGACAGCTTCTGTTTGGTTTGTCATGTTGGTGGCTTGGGTGGTAAGTTGGTTGGCAATGGTATCAAGACGATTAGTGGTGGCTGTGGACAAGTGAATAAGGGCTTGGAGTTGATCCTACACAGTGGGTGGTTCACCAGCAGGAGCTTCTTGTTTAGGAGGCATAGTAAGCAGATGAAAGCACCAATTGATAAGTAGCCAGTTAGAGTTGGCCAATCTCCCAAGAAACAACAGAGCAAGAGCAGAGAAGGATAGAACAGTAAAGCTGGAGCAATTTTCTGAATGTATTTCCCAAATTGAAACTTACAATTTATAACCTACTGTGCATAATGGAAACTAAAAACAAGGAAGCAGAAAGCAGTAACAATAGTGGGTTCCTAAAGATAAGTAACATCCTTTGACTGGCAGTTGTATGACCAGGTCTTATTCCTTCACGTGATGACTTAACCCAAATAACGGGCAGGCTTCCTCTTTTCTCTTATGGGCCGGCCTTCCTTTTCCATAATTGGATTTCCTGTTGGTGGGCTGGTGTAACTGGGCTCCTGAAGTGTATCACATCATCTCAATTTCTCGAGGTTATCAATAATGGAAATCGGGGCTTTAAAAATGGAAAATTAAAAAAGAGAGAGACTACCCAACACAGCTTTAACCAAAGTTAGGTGACCGCCAAAGTATAAAGTTTTAGCTTTCCATAAAGAAAGTTTATTTTGAACACGATCAATGACGGGTTGCCAGCTCCTTTTTTGGGACATATTTGCTCCGACAGGGACTCCAAGATATTTAAAAGGAAGAGAGGCCGCCTCACAACAGAGAATTCTAGCGCAACTAGCATTTCATTCTCCGAAACTCCAATGTCATAAACTTTGGATTTGTGAAAATTGACTTTGAGCCCCAAAGATGCAAAATTCTTGCCAAGTTTATGAAGTTAGAGCTTGTCCAATCTCCAATAAACATGGCGTCATCGGCGTAAAACAAATGAGAAATCGCAGGGCCTCATTTAGGCATTTCAGCCCCATGAAATAAAGAATGGTCGCAAGCCGAAAGCACGGCGACATTTAATCCTTCCATAGCAATTATAAACAAGAAAGGAGATAGAGGATCCCCTTGTCGAACCCCTTTGGTAATTGGAAACTCTTTCGTGGCGGAGCCATTGAGGAGAATAGATGCCCGAGAAGACGAGAGACAGCCTTTTATCTAAAATACCCATTTATCTCCAAATCCCATTTGTTTCATGATCGATTCCAAATACTTCCAATTAATAGAATCAAAAGCTTTGTCGAAATCGACTTTGAAAATGAATGTTTTTCGTTTAGATTTTTTAGCCCAAGCACATAGCTCATTAGCAATCATCGGCCCGTCAAGAATCTTTCACTCTTCAATGAAAGCAGTTTGAACTTCCCCAATCACCGATCCAATAACTCTCTTAATTCTTTCGGCAAAAGTTTTGGCAATAATATTGTAGACACACCCAATTAAGATTATGGGACGAAATTCATGAAGCGTGAGAGGATCTTTAACCTTTGGTAACAAGGAAATGAATGAAGAATTGCTTCCCCTAGAGAAAAAACCATACTTTTCAAAATGCTTGACAAATTGCATAATATCTACTTTCATGATCTTCCAATGTTGTTTAATAAATTTAAAGGTAAAACCATCAGGCCCGGGGGCTTTATCATTACCGCAACTCCAAATTGCCTCTTTTATCTCCTTAACATCAAATGAGTTTTCGAGAAAGCACTTGTCTGCATCCGAAAGTTTAAGAAATTTTTCATTAAGAAATAACGGTCTCTCGTGACATTCTTCACGAAATTTTTTAGCAAAAAATTCCCATGCCTCCTTTTTTATCGCATCTACATTAGTGGTCCAAATACCATTTATCATGAGGCCATGAATATGGCATTTCCTATTTTTGATTTTTAAGAAGATATGAAAAAACCGAGAATTCTCATCTCTATCACACACCCACTTGATTTTGGCTTTTTGAATCAAGTCAAGTTTGGCAAATTTCTCCAAATCAAGAATACGCTGTTTGTTTAATCTTCTTGCCAAAATTTCAGCATTTGTGAGCGGTCTATTCTCAACAACCAATTCAATGTTATTAACCAAATCTTTTAGCTTGCGAAGTTTTCTATTTTCTTTGTCAAACTCCACCCGCCTCCGATTCTTGATAGCCTCTTTGACAGCTTTTAGCTTATCAGAAAAGTATCTATCGGGGGCACCAACGCCAATGAAATTGCTCCATGCCCATCTAATAATACCATCAAAATCATCACGAAGCAACCAAGAGTTGAATAATCTGAATGGACGAGGCCCAAAATCTGCAACCTCGGTCCTAAGAAGGATCGGGGAATGATCCGAATGTTCTCTTGGCAGTGCAACTATAGAAGCGGAAGGGAAGGCAGACATGAAGTTTGGACAGACTAAAAATCGGTCAAGTTTACTAAGCTTGCATCCAACATCGCTGAAATAAGTGAATTTTCTGCCCCCCCCCCCCCCCCCCCATGTTTAATTCAAAAAGTCCCGCATCTCTAACGAATTAAAAGTTGCAGCAATACTTGGACAAAAAATAAGAATTTATCCTCTCCTCAGGTCTTCTAACCACATTGAAATCTCCAAAAATTGTCCAGTTACCGGATCTCAAAGCCATTAACTTTAAGAGTTTTGACCATAAAGCTTTTTTTTCACGAGGAGCCTGCGGAGCGTATACGTTCACAAAGATAGTTTCTCCAGTGGTTCGAACCCAATGTCCAATTATAGCCAAAAAATTCCTGGATTTTATACAGCCAGTAAATTGGAATAAACTTCTGTCCCAAAAAGTCATAAGTCCTCCATCTACCGACCGATTCCACGAATTCAAAACCAACATCCGAATTCCCTCACCAATCAGCGATTTCAACAGGAATAGAAGATAGACGCGATTCTTGAAAACTAAATACAGAAATTTTATTTTCCGACTTTAATCAACTAATCAAATCAAATTTATGAGATTCCCTCATTCCCCTAATGTTTAAAGACATCACATTCATGAGAAAATTTTCTTTCCGCCATCACCTAAAAGCATACCAGTAACCTCGATGCAATTGGTCCCAATTTGAAACCCAACTTGATTCCCAACAGCAATGGTGTTCTCAAGTTCACAAGAAATAGAAGCAGACGAGACAGGAGAGCCAGAATTTGATCGCTGTGATCGATAAGCATCATGATTAAGGTCGATGGATTTAGATTCACCAGAAACGATTTTAGAATTAGACCTACAGTCCCCATTCTTTTTCTTTTTTGTCCGACGTCTTTTAACGTTCGAGTCACCGAGTTCGAATTCTGGGCTACTAGCTAATGGACTGGAAGCAGGACCATTTCTAGATGAGTCTCCAAAACGGCCCAAAGTAGGATTGACTAAATTAACTCCTGATTCCAAATTAGCGTTAGACGAATTGATTCCGTTGACATTGGAACTAGAGTTTGGCTCCAAAATAACCACGTTTTCATTCTCCATGTCCCCATGCAACCCTTCGTCATCCCCGTAATGTGGACCCTGATCAAAATAGTTTACATCATCAACCGCCGGCGGGGCCGGAGCATCGATAGTGGGTGGCGAACCGTTTCCACCCTGATCAGGATTGACCTGATTTATCTCTCCTTCTTCCATATCCAAATCATCCAGTTTCCATGTATCTGAAACACCATCATCATCGTCAAGTTCCACCTCAGAATCCGAATCAGAGGTTGAGCAAGCCACAAATTTTTTGAAAGGGGTCCAATCGTCATCGACTTCAAAGACTCCCAGCCTGTGAATATTACCATCAATCGACACTGAAACTTCATCATTTATTTTTTTCCGGGAGGCTGTAAGTATACAGATTTTGCCATGTGAGACATAATGAGAGCTCCTGAAAGGATTACAGTTAACCAACACCTTACCAAAATACCCAGCTATCAATCCAGTATTCGAATCATCCCAGGCATGAAGTGGCAGGCCCGTGATTTTAATCCAAGCAATCCTCTCAAAGCGAGTGGAATTTTTACCAAAGTGTTCCATCCAAACAAACCATTTAAGCCAAATGTTTTTGTTAGCTTTAAAGTTGTTTGCAGACCCATCAGAGTTAAACTTGACTAAGACTTGCATGCCCCCTAAATATTTGGTTTCGATTATATCAAATCCCTCCAGTTTCACCATTGAAGAAAAATTGCATAAAATATCAAAGTTCTTGATCTCTCCTACCAAAAGGGCATTATTTGTCCAGTCTTGAACCTCTTTAATAGCAGAAAGAATCAGAGGAGGGTTGACAGTAGACAAAGACATACCTTTAGCAACATCAGCAAAAGATCTTGAATCTCTGCCACGGCTAGGGATCTTGTCACACGGGGGTCTGGGATTACCCTTTGCCGATGCCTGCCCTCTCAATTGACCATCCATATATATACTGCCTCCTCCTAGGGTGCTTAGCGATATTTGTGTGAAACCTTCTCCCCCTTAACGATAGACCATTCAAAGCTCCCTCAATATCATGAGGATTATTTACTTCAGCAAACCTCACGAAAGAAAAAAAGGAACCAGAGGCGTTCATCCTACCGGCGATGTAAATGTCCATCAACGAACCCAGCTTCTCACAAACCTTCCAAATTTCATTCTTATTTGCATTAATCGGAAGGTTGCAGACGTAGAAAGACGTTAACGAAGGATCAACAAAGAAAACTTTTCCGGCAGGAGCCTTTCTCCTTCCTCTAACTTCCGTCCATCCACCACCATCCGCCGCGGGACCATCCGACTTCCCCGAGAGCATCCCCACCAGATTCAGTCAAAACTATAATTAAATTACTTTCCCTATTTAGTTTCAACTAGTAAATACGTCCGTGTTTTGGAAGGCGTCGCTTTTTTTTTCTTATTTTTTTTTCATATTTTTAAGGTTGTTGTTTGACATTGTCAAGTTACATAAACATTTTGCAAAAGAGTGAGCATACAACTACTTAAAAGATTACTTGCAAAAGAGTAAATGTAAAAATAAAAAAAAAATAAAAAACCACATATCACAACAGATACTTATAGACACATTGCAACAAAGTAGGAGCCGATTCCACAAAAGGCACAATACATGTATTCTTTAACTGTTTGTCTACAAAATATCTAACAACGATCAACGGTTAGTATAATCATCTAAATTCGATCAAAATTTAAGGCATAAATCATCTAGAATTGGCAAGTAAAACCAAAAAGCTAACCTTATAAAACTCTACCTACCCAATAGGAGGTGATCATTTTCGCACCCAATCATTTAGAATTGGCAAGTAAAACCAAAAAACTAACCTTATAAAGCTCTGTCCAATAGGAGGTGATCATTTTCATCGAGAGACCAAAGCAAGGCTTTGTGGTGGTTGGAGTCTGGCATAGCCTTTATAATTTGTTTTTAACCAAAGTTAAAGTGTTAAATCTCTGGTGCGAATGATTTGTTAATAGCTTATACGAATTTATTTAAAATACTTAGGAATCAACAACTTACTTTGGGTTCCGCATCTTCTACCGCATATTCATCTTCAATTTATTTAAAATACTTGGCAAATCAATGGTGCCTTGTCCAATCAGATATATCATGTCCACCGAACTGACAGCAGCAACTGAAACCTCAATCACCATTTACTTGTAGGGAGGGTATTTCTTTAACTGCAGTAGGTTGACAACTAAATTACTCTTGCTACAAATATAACCAATGTACTATATCTTTTACCGTTAATAGTAACACACCGATACTTTTTATCCATAATAGCAACGTACTTACAAAAGCTTTGCTTATTTGTCAATTTAGTCAATTTTGACAGTTTTGGTATTTTTTTTTTACCAAATCTGTCAATTCAGTCAGTTTCATCTCATTTTTAAATTATGAAATTAAAAAAAAAAAACACAAAAAAAAGCCTCCCATATGGAAATTGTATGGTCTTAAAACAGAAGTTTTGGTCGTTTGACTTTTTGGTCAATTTTGACAATTTTGGTCTTTTTGACCAAAGATATAATTTCAACAATTTTGGTCGATGAACCCCTTATTAACTTAAAATAATAAAACTTATGTGCAGTAGCAATAACACTTTCTGGAAATATGACAGCAATACCATATTTCAAGTAACTGTAATTGTTATTCCCTAACCCAACCAAAAAGACCTGATACTTTTAAATAAACCAAAGACCTGATGCATTAACAACCAAAGAAGACATGTTATATTAAGCAAAACTACCTAGTTGTTAAACTGACCACAAAGACCTGATGCATTAACAACCACCAGAAGGACATGGGGTTGGATGGGTTGTTTACATGAAAGGACATCGTTATATCGGTCTTACTTTTTTGGACTATATTAAAGAAAAATCAAATGTTGGCCATATCCTAGGAATGTTATAACCGTAGATGGAATATACCAAATTGTAGAAAATGCAATCTGTATACAGAGAAAATTTCACTACAATAATAAGGTAAAAAGTGGAAAGCACAATGCTATAATTGGGTAGATTTTCCAAAATACATTCTGGAAATGATTAAATGCAAAATAAGAACAAAATAGTGAAGTACCATGATGTAATACGTGGGTATTCATCACATTTTCATAAAGATTTCATTAATTTAAACAAATTATTGTCTTATAGTATTTAATACCTTTTGCATTTGCTGTTGAAGGATGTAGAAGAATAAAGGTTGTTATGACGGTTTCAATTTTTTCATTAATAAACATACTGTTTATCGACTTCAATTGCAGGCCTGAAAATTTTTCTAGTACCAACCTTGCCATATGTTCTTCCTATAAATGCATGCACCATATCCTCTTTCGGCATGTACAATATCTCTTGTCATGCTAGGTCATCGACTTCTATCGAGTCTTTCACTTCATTCTTTCGTTGTGTCAGCTGGAAATTCATGGAAAAAAGAAAAATCATATCAAGGGTGAGTCAGAAATACATAAATGCCCTTAAACTCAAAACATGTTCCAACAATCTCATGTTCACTTTTAGATGGAAACAAAAAATGATTGTACAATAAGAAGAAGAGAAATAAGTTATGGTTTTGTGTTGGTGTGTGTTTGTGTCAGTTAAAATGAAAATAGAACCTAGATAATCCAATTATCCAACAAATACACATGAAAACCCAAAAAAAAATTAGAGACTTGAGGCGCTACCTGCGTCCGATTCTTCATGTACATCACATCAGCTCATAAGCTCATAGAAGCTGTTATACCATGAATCATCACATCATATAGTCTACATCTCTTTACACCTGATAAGAAAAATGTGATTTCATTCCACTTTAGTGTCTAATAAAAGGTGGAAGAGAGGCTCATAGGTAAAATTTCGAATTAAAGAGATAAAATCATGAATTGGACAGTAACATGTTTAGGCATGACACAGTGTGCATTACTACTGGATGTCTAGTATCAAAATGATGTAAAGTCAGAAAATCACCTACAACAAAAGGTTTAAAACTTATTCTTAATATTAGTAAGTTCTATATACCTTCAAGTTTAACATCAAAAATAATAACAACATATGGCTTAATTGATAGAAATTTGAGCATGAACGATGTCAAATAGTTTAAAACTCCTTGCTAAACTTCCAAATGAAAGTACCTGCTATGTATTTAAGCAGAATAACATCTCTTCACTTTAATCTTCCATTTATATAAATAAAAAAAGATCGAAGATAACTATTATACAAAAATATCATCAATAAATTTAGACTGAAAATTTGAATATCTTTAATAAAACATAAAGCACATAAATACGAAGCGATTTCTTTAGTGATAGGCTACTCGGTTCTTATTTTGATAAGACACCAAGACACCAAAACACATAAAGAAGCATTAAACCTACTAAAATCGAAAAGGAAAAGGAAAAAAAAACAAGTTATAGAGATTAAACTTTTTGTAACTCATCAAAATTATAGAAGATGTTATGGTAAAAAGAAATTACTATGATATTCAAGGATATGTAGATATAAAGGGTTTGATTAGAGTGGTGGGAATGAACCTATGAGGCCGGGTACAAATTTTTGTTTGAAGCCAACTACAAACTGTATCATCCCAAAAACACTAATAAATTTTAAAAACACTAATAAATTATTTCATTTCTAAATCATCCAATTCATACATTAAGTGTACTAAAGACTAATCATGATAAAATGCATCTCAACATCATAATAAAACAATAGTTGTCAATGCGGAAAATCATAGGGGAATGTTGAGCAGTCAAACTGGGTCCTTCCCTTTAGAACTAGAAGTAACTGGAAATGTTAAACCATAAAACCGTAAGCACAAAGCTTAGTGAGTTCCCCAAAATACCACATACCATACAAATGGGCCCAGCCCAACATACATACAAATGGGTCCAGCCCAACATGCAAATGGGCCTGGCCCAACATATATACAAATGGCCCAACCCAACATGCAAATGGGCCCAACCCAAGATACATAGGAATGGGCCATGCCCAACATACAAACTAATAAGACCAACCCAACATACATACTAATAAGCCCAACCCAACATACATATGCAAGAATCACAAAGGTAGCTAGCATCCTACATAGTACAGTGAGAAGACTCACTTGTCTCATTAAATCAGGTAAAAAACACAACTCACTGCCACACAAATAGTGCTACAACACACCTTTAAATAAAAAAAAAGGTCCTACCTTATTCTAACCTTGAAAAGTAGCCATTTTGACTAAAAGTCAAACCAGGTCAACAGGTTAACGGTAAAGGTCAAAGTCAGTGACTACCACTTCCATTAGCTGACCCTTACGTTGTGACCAGCTCATGATCACATTGTGGGAAACAGACTCAACCTGGTCCCAATTCAACTCAGTCTCGATCCACACCATCATCACCTCGTGATATACAGGTCATCACGTTGTGATGGAATCAGTCCAAATTAATCGAGGAAAACCCCAGTCGCCACATCATGAAAATAAGGGTGTCACATTGTGAAATACAGGTCATCATGGAGGTTAGCTGGTAGCAGAGGAGTGTGCTGTGAGGGGTTTAGTAGGCAATAGTGAACTGTATGATCAATAATTGTTTGTATTATGTGCCTACTTGATCCTTACTTTTTTATATGTCGACATATGGTGGTGCGTTAGGTTGAGGCGGTCCTAATGTGTGCTGAGGACGAAGATACCCGGTGCAGGCCGGCTGTAAGCTGTAGGCAAGAAGGCTCGGGAAGAGCGGTTGGGTTGAGGCGGCAGGCCAACAAAGCCAGAGCATTCCAGTCAGAAGACTGTGGGTCGGGGGTATTCTAGTCTGATGACTGAGGACCTGATATCCTTGTATATGTTTTATTGTGTGCGGTATTTTGGCGGAACTCACTAAGCTTTGTGCTTACCTAGTTGTGTATGTTTCAGGTTCTATAGGTGATCATGGGAAGGAAAAGGCGGGACTGTACACACTCATCAGCAACATTGAGGATTCCGCGTTTATTATAATACTATAATTTTCGATAAATGTAATTAGGAATAAATGGTGTTTCTAAAAATGGATTTATAATTGGGAAGTTTGACCTTAATAAAAATGAAAATTTTTTGTTGTGAAAATGGGACGTTAGAAGTTGGTATCAAAGCCCTGACTTGAGGGATTTGGAGAAACACTTGTGTGAATATAAACTCAAACTAGGATCCGAGAATTTTCACAAAACGTTTTTTTTTTAAAAAAAATTTAACAAACGGTTGGGTTTGAGGCATGGGATTGGTTCTATGTCATGTTCTTGTTTGATTGTAGGCTTGGGCTCGGGAACGTGGGCATCTGACTTAACCTT